CTTTGATATTAATAAATGACCCATATAAATTAATTTAATTACTAATCTATCCAATAAAATAATCATATTTAAAACTTGGGTATTACAGTAAAATCTAAAGTTAGGATTTTTAGTCTTTTGGATAGTTACAGGACTAAATGGGTTATTAAAAATTAACTTAGATTAATTAGTATACAAGTATTACAAATAGAATTTTGAAAAAATCTTCCTAAATCAAAAGAGTATGAAGTACTCATTATTTTTCAAATAATGTATAGTTTTGTCACAAAATTAGGTTGTATTGAGAAAGTATCTTACTATTTTTGAAAATTATTGGTTCAGTGCTGAAAAGTGTTTCTTCTTTGTTTGTCCTTAAAAAATGGGTCAAGTTTGATCATTGTCACCCAATTTTGCTCATTTAACATGCAGAAAGTTCAGACTTATAATGATACACCCTTACAAGCAACTTATATGTTGGCGAAAATGATGACAATGTTCATTGTCGTTGATGGTGCAAATAAATCCGTTTTAATGGATTTTATATATGTATTGTAGCTCGAAATTTGTAACTTGAATGGTCCGAATGTTTGGGTCTTACGCGCCCATATATATCTCCTCTCTATCTCTTTGTCTCTTAGACCCGAAGTGTGAAATCAGTCTCTCGCCTCTTTGGGAAGCTTATCGCTTTCTCATTTAACTACCTCTCCAATGCAACAAATGATGTGGACATCCGACTTCTCTCTGACGTAAACAACGCCAAAAACTTTTCATACGCCAGAAACTCCTCTCATTCGACTCCTCTCACCACCAGAAACTTTTCATATGCCGGATTACAACCTAACAAAACGAATCTCAAGTAAACCTGACATCGCAAAAGTAGGGTTTGAAGATTGAATCAGGGTTTAAACTAGACCAAAATAGTGATTAGGGTTTCGTGTTTTTCCCTGTGTTTGAATCAAGAATTTTATGGAGTTTAATTTATGTTATTATAGTAGTGTAATTTTAGTCAATATGGTTTGTTTTTGGTTTGTGGGTTCTACAATTTGCTCATGTGGGGGTGTTAAGTTGTTAATTATGATGGGTTCAATTAGGGCTTAGTTCCAAAAAGGTTATGGGTTCAATTTCCTTTTAGGGGGTTTAAATTAAAAGAGTGCAAACACTTAGGTACTTTGTCAAGGGTAAGGAGATTTTCTCTCATATGTGCTAATCTAACAACTAACATTTGCCGATAAAAATAAAAATAAAAATAATGTTAATTGTGATGATGGATGTTCAAATTGTGTCCCCAAGAAGCCCCTTGTGTTTGAAAATTTACAAAGATTTTTTTTTTTTTTTGTAGACTTTTGATATTGGAGAGGAAAAAGCTAGAGGAGTGATGTTGAACACAGTCGATGATGTAAAATAATTGTTTTATATCCTGAAAAATGCATCATAGATGAGCTACAAAACATTATTCATCTGAAAATGTAGAAGAAAATGCATTTCGTATTGATGTCAAAAAATACGAAAAAAAGTATATGTTGGTTTGTTGATTCGAGCTAGCCAGATGAGCTACAAAACATTACATGCATCATAGTAGAATTTTTGACATCACAAATGCATCTCAGATACTACTCTCACATGCAAAAAAACCAGAAGAAGAATTTACCCAATCCCCTATGAATACATTTAGTGGTGGAGATTCCGAACAGAGGTGGATAGTGGTCTCAGTGGTCAGCGACGGTCAATGGTCGTCATAGTCGTTGATGACGATTCCGAACAGAGGTGGACGGTGGTCTCAGTGGTCAGCGGCAGTCGATGGTCATCGTGGTCGTCGTCAATGGTCCGCGGTCAATGCCAAACAATTCAATCATTCGGAGCATCACATTTCGAGCTACCCACTAGAATTGTTAAAGAAACTATTAAAGCATCTTTTTCTGACTTAAAAACCAATTGAGAGGCTTTTAGCCAAATTTCTCAAAACAGTAATCTTTAAAAAGAAAATTAGTTCAGCTAGAATTCTAAAATTGAGAGAGCCAAATTAATGAAAACAAAAAAAAAATAAAAAAGCTTTCCCATTTTGCTTTAGTTTTATACATTAATTAATTAATTTATTTATTTTTTGGATGGTCTCGTGAAGGAAAGAAACAAATCAATCAGCATCTCGGATGTCCAAGACTACAAAATTGTGAATGTCTTCAGGCCCTTCCTCGACCAAACCCAGGATTGGAAGGCTTGCGTTTGGAGAGCTTTGCGAGACCAACCATATTCCCAGTCCTCAGCACGTGCCGTATCGTGGTAAATAAAGATGTTCATAACAAAAAAATCAAGATGTAAGATCCTTGGCTACAAAGAGCAGAGAATGCGAAACACACTAATCTCAGATCTGAGAACATTATTGATTGTTGCAGCGGAGAAAACTTCCAAGGTTGTGAAAATGTCATTGCCAAACAGAGCAAAGCAATTAACTTAACTGAGAATAGATCTGGTGAAAGTTACAAAACAGGATTGCTGGTACATGTATTAATCAGGATTAAAGAAGCAACAATGCAGAGTACTCGTCTTGAGAATATTCATCATAGAATGACAAAAAAGTCGGGTTAGTTTCATCCAATGACGAAATTCCATGTGACATCATCAATTTATTTAATTTCAGGGAAGCCAACAACAGCAACAGCAGCAGCAGCAGCAACATCAAGTTTTAAGAGCTGCACCAACTTTAGCAAGGTCCTCCAATGCTTTCAAGATCTGTGGTTCTGTCATGCCTTCCAAACGAATACCCCTCTCAACACCCATATCTGTTTCCAAAATCAAAAGTCACAAAATCAAAATCTTTTGTGATCACATATGCACTAGAACGTAACAGAAACAGAACAGATTAACAAGGAACATACAACTTTTTAATTTGCAAATGTCAAAACTACCATAGAGAGACCTTGGGGGCAGAAGATTGTTATGGGTATTACACATCTATTAGGATTACAACTTATGGGAAAAGGGGAGGAAAAAGTTGCAACTTGGTTAGGCTTGGTTCGGTTTAACATCATCCCTGAGGCTACTCAATGTAGATTCAGTTTTTATTTCACTAACCTAAAACCAAAACCCTGTGCGAACCAATCCAAACCAACTGACATGAAATTCGAAGGACACTGTGCATGGCTGAGTAACCCCATAATACGACCACTAAAAAGGAGAACTTTTCCATGCATGTTGGTGAAGCCCCTCATCAGCAGTCACCCTTTGATGTAGGGATTACCTCCCTGTGGTATATCCGAAAATGGGCAATCACTCTTCTCAATTCACGTGATGCTTGAAAAAAGTAAAGGCAAAGGCAGTGCATTGTTTTGGTACACGGTTACTGACCTTGGGAAATAAAAAGACCGCACATGCTTGTATAGGGAAATCACAGTTTGCTTGGAAAAAAAAAAAGAGGCATTACCTTCTTCAGCTGTAGTTGTTATTGGGAAGTGGAAAGGAGCATATTGTTTGTATCTTGGCTCACGATGTATGAATGGGCATGATTGGTCTGTATGGGATCTAGTAGAAAAATAAACAGTGGGTTATATTTGGTGGTGTGTGTGATAACAGTATCACAGTGGTCTGTGAGGTTGAGAGATAATAGTAAGAGTGTGGGTAAAATACTAGGGAGTGTATTTGACTCACCATTTGTATTTTCTACTGTTAGTGGATTGCTCTATCCCACCTGTGGACGTATGCATTTTAGTCAAACCACATAATCTCAGTGTTCTTCCCTTTCAGTGTCGATTTTATTTTTATTTACTTCCCTTGCTCAGGTGGGTTTATTCCTAACATGACGTTTTGTCAAAGAACCAACCCTCCCAACCTGTTGTCATCAACCAACTTTGTTCAGTAGCTAATGACCTAGCCAGCATGCAGCAAACGCAGTATAACCCCTCATGGAGACCTTGTTGACATGGCAAAGAGGCCTTGGCACTTCTTTGCCACCCAAATGGGCCCTAGTCTCACTTGCTTCAGCTGATTTGGGCAGCTAGCCACCTCACCAAGATGACTCCAAAGTCAATTCTCCTGCAGGTGGTAACCACACAATTGGGCCCCCTGCTCCACCTACAGCCTCAGTTCCAGATCCTGGTCACATCCCTGCCCCCTTGGTGGGGACTCCATCCTTAGGGGTTCTTCAGATTCTCTCTGAGAAAGCCCTGTTCAGACTCCTGTCTTTGAAGCAAAACTCACACTTAAATAGGTCAAGGATCCATGTGCAACCCACCTTTAGTCAAACACTCCACATATTCCTCTCACTCCTGACCTTAACCTTCCCACCATACCTGCTCGAGATTGCCAGCCTTCCTTCAAAGTTAGATTGAAAGGAGGGAAACACCAAAGAACAAGTCATCAAATTCATCAATACCAAGGGTAGGTGCCGTGTCAGGTTATTTTGGGGTTATTGTCAAAATTATTTCACACCAACTCAACCCGATTTTTTTCCTGTGTTATTTTGTCGTGTCACTTTCAATCCATATCCAGTTCATGTTGTGTTAACATATCATGTCAGAAATTTTCACTCTTAATTAAAAATACCAAGTGTATGGAGAAAATAATTTTTCCCCCCAAGTTAAATTTTAATGAAACTAACCTCTTTTGGATGAAATTATTCAAAAAAACATTTCATTTCAACTCAATTCCATTTCCCCAATTTACAAACACTATACATTATTATAATATTTTTTTTACTAGATTGACTCTCAAATAGTAGACAAAAAATACATTATCTTAAATGGCGCGCGTGTGCACACACACACACACAAAAACAAACAAACTATATTACCCTAAAATCCTATTTTACTTACCTTTTTATTTAACTATATGGAGTTACATAAGGAATTCAAAAATGTCATGGCACCCTTTAAATAACATTAAAATGTCTAACTAATTCTTCACACGACGAGTTATCCGTGCCAATTTCATGTCATGTCGGTTCGACACTAACCTAACCCATTTCATGTTTGTGTTATGAGTCGTGTCATATTCATGTTTGTGTCAAAAAAAATGATCAATCCTAGCCACCTAAGTTTGTGTAGAGTTCAAGTTGTGTTATTATGCCGTGTAAAAAACTCCCACCCTTAGTCAATATGTTTGGCATACATGACTTGAATCACAACCTTCCTTTGACGAAATTCTTCAAATCTCACCCAGACAAAGCTTACACTCTTGGTACCCACATGGTTCTATTTCATCATGGGAAGACTTGGTGAAGTAGTACTTCTACGTTGAAGAGCACGTCACTACTCTCCAACTATACTATGAAGTATGTTCAATTTCTCAACCAAAGAGGGGACATTTGCTAACATGGATTCCATTGAAGATAGATGTAATATTAGGGGTGCGCAGCGGATATACCGATCCGCCTAAACCAACCGAACCGAACTGAACCGATCCGCCGCATTTTGGACGGATGCTTGATGACGAGCGGATGGTTGTAGATTGATTTTTTTCAATTTGCCTAGTTTTGGACGGATGGCAGATTTGAGGTTCCTTCAAACCGCAACCGAGCCAAACCGTGAGCATCTTTAGTAATTTGTAAGACTTTATGTTTTCAATTTGTTTATATATTTTGTTTGTATTTTAAATTGAAAAAGAGTTTAAATAGTCTTTTGAAAAAGAATTTTCAACTTCAATATATTTTTTGAATTGAAAAAAATAAATGTATTATTTATCTATATTTTTTAGTTTTTAAATCTAACTGTAAAAATAATAAATAAAAAAGATGATATATGTTTGTTGGTTTTTGCTTTCAAAAACAAATATAGATGTAACAATATAGATGCATATAATATCTACTACTGCTCTGTTCATGATTTTGGTGGTTTGAATTGTTTTTATATTTTAAAAACTACATATTGTAATACTTTATGTGGATGAGGTATACTGTGATTGTAATATGTAGATAATGTATGCAGTGATTGTAATATTCTAAAATTTCAAACTTTCTTTCTTTGGATGAGGCATGTAGTGATTGTAATTCATTTTTTTTTTTTTTTTTGAGGAAGTGCACAAGTTAAATTATATTGAAAATTTATAAAAAAATTAACCGCCAAACCGATTCGCATCCATCTATCAATCCGCCAATCTACATCCGTCGAATTGGCGAACAGATGCAGATTGATTTTCTCCAATCCGCCAATCTGACGGACGAATGGCAGATTAGAGGTTCCGTGACCACAACCAACCCGCTTCCACCCCTATGTAATATGGATCCTCATAGTTGATGGGTTGTTCATGGTGCATCTGCATCCACTCTTCAATCATTGGCTTTAAGACTGCTTGTGCAACCTTCTTCTTTGTTATGTGCTGAGAGAAATTGGAGTATATACTCTTTTATCCATTCGGTGAGAAGAAACAAGATAACACTCCAACATGCAAAGGACTTAATTTTTATTCATAGCAACCTCTGCTGTCTATCAAGCCCAAAATACATTCAAGGAGAGACTAAGTTGTGGGGTAGGGTTGTTCACGGGTCGAGTCAGATTTGTCATTGATCCATCACTCAAATCGACTACAATGGATTGGACATTTTTCCAACCGATTTCAACCGTATTGTAGTTCGAAACTGTTCTATTCGAAACCGATTTATTCGGTTGAGTTTCAGCTGGGAACAACTGGTAACTTTTCCCTTTCTTCGAACCCTAATCTATATATTATATATACATATATCTATATACACATACAGATGTGAGAGTGGAGAGAGGAAAAAAAATGAAAAAGAAACCATTTTGTAGCAATAGCACAAACATTACATTAATTTTCGAACTCAAATATGTATATATAACTTCAAAATCAAATATAAAACAACTCACATAGTGATTCAACCACAACTCTCTCACAGCTAATCTGAGAGATTAAGTTAGGGCTTCTGAAATTGAGAGAGAAAGTTAAAGCTTGGGTTCTGAACTTCGCCAATCATCATCGTCACTTTGCTATTGAGATTAGGAATTTGGGATTTGATAAGTATATCATAGATACAGGGATGTTTAGGTTGAGATGAACTGAAGGAGTTCAGAGAGAGAGAGAGAGAGAGAGAAGGGGGAGGCGAAGACGAGAGGTTGAGAGAGAAGAGGGTCATGTGAGAGTGAGAAGACACAAGGGTGAGTGAGATGTTTTTTTTTCCTTTGATTAGAGAGAGAGAGAGAGAGAGAGAAAGAGAGAGAGAGTTTAATGACTGGGAAATTGATTTGGAGAATAGAGAGGGATAGTTGAGAGTGATGAGAAGACGAAAGCATGAGAGAGAGAATTTTTTTTATTATTTTTCTGGATGGAGAGAGAGAGAGAGAGAGAGAGAGAGGGGTAATGATGAAATTGAAAGTTTGAGAGATTTGAAATGAAAAGCTGAAAGGATGAGAGAATTTTTTTTTATTATTTTCTTTTACTAGAGAGAGAGAGAGAGAGAGAGATATGAAAATGGGAAACAGAGGAGGGTGTCTTGGAAAGATAAAAGAATCAAATCTATGCAATATATAATTAATATATTCGGTCAAGATAACCAAGGAAATAGATGAGGCTGCCTTGGGAAATATAAGTTCTTATTATCTATATATATATATAATTCGGTCGGTTCGGTTCAAACGGGTTTTTAATTATTAAATCCGAAATCCGTCCAAAATCCAAAAATATTTACATAAAGCAAACCATGACCGACCATTGGAACTGTCGAAACCGCCCGCACTTGGTTCGGATCGGGCGGGTCAAGTTGGGTGGGTCGGGTGATTCGGTTCTTTGTATACCCCTATTGTGGGGTATTGAGGGCAACAACTTTGATTCATTTGATGGCATCGGGATACTTGAGCTTGGAAACCTCTCACTGGATGAACTTAAGATGGAGGTTGTGTTGTTTACAAATGATGGAAATGCAGATCAAGGAAATGGCGATGATGATGAAGACTTAGTAAAAGTCAAATCTACTTGAAACTTTAGAAAGTCAACCAGTTTTTTTTTTTGGCCTCTCATATTTAGTTTTTGATGGATATTAGATGTTTCCCTTATCTTAACTCTTATCGTTTATGTCTTTTTTATGAATGATATATTAATTACTTAAATGTAATGGGTATTTTTTTATATTAAATTAGTGTTAATTTTTATTGATTTTGATTGTAAGTGGAAATGATATTAATCTGATAGAGAATAAACATATATAAAAAAGAATTTGTATCCGTGTCCGTATCCGTACTTCTAAGGTCACGTCTGTAACTCCACACGAAGTGGGGGTTTAGTTCATGAGACCTCAAGCTTAGGCACTCAAGGAAAAGGGTCCACGCATATCGTTTATGTCCTTTTTATGAATGATATATTAATTACTTAAATGTAATGGGTATTTTTTTATATTAAATTAGTGTTAATTTTTATTGATTTTGATTGTTAGTGGAAATGATATTAATCTGATAGAGAATAAACATATATAAAAAAGAATTTGTATCCGTGTCCGTATCCGTACTTCTAAGGTCACGTCTGTAACTCCACACGAAGTGGGGGTTTAGTTCATGAGACCTCAAGCTTAGGCACTCAAGGAAAAGGGTCCACGCATAGTTTCCAAAATGGAAAGCTAAAACAGGAAGCATGGCCATAAACTATATGGGGAAACGGGAATTGAGAAAAAGATCAAGAATCGAATGGGAAACTTAGTAAGAATGTTAGTATAAAATTTTGTAAAACAAAAACAAACCTAACTAAAAATCTATATGAATACTTTTATAGATATAAAGTTAATGCCAATCCTATTATATAGAAGCAATTCCAGTCCATTGAATCTCCCGTAGTTGTTCACTGGGGTAGAAAATTCCACCCAATAACTTAGTAAGCCCAAGTTCTCCAACCAAATGTGGATCTATTACACACAACTAAACAATTTCTAGATTGCATTCCGTGTTGTACATGAGTATAGCAAACTTATTTCAAGAAAACAAGAAAGTCTATGAAAAAGACCAGCCTTTTAGAGACAAAAAAAGAAATCCTCACAAGACACACCATAAGATATTTCATGATTATAGTTATTAGTCCCAATCGTGCAATAGAACATAGTAGACTCAAGCATAACTATATATTAATGACATCAGTTGTGTCAGCAAATATGACATGATATGAAATGTTTAAAAAAAAAGATTCACCATTTTACTTTGCCTTGAATCCATCATTGACCTCTTATATTTTAATTGTAACAGTCAAACTCATAGCCAAGTTGCAATGTCACCATTTCATGAGCTGCATGTATATTTGCCCACGTGGCACACACATGGCCCTCTCCACAATGCCATGTGGCCATTTTTTGCAAGCCCATGTAACAACTCAAGAAAGTTGACATTACAACTTAACCATAACTGTAACAGTTTGTCAATCGTAAGCAGGCCATTCTGAAGGAAGCTAAAGCTATGGTTGACGTTGGACGGATGCTCGGTTTAAATTTTGAGGGTGTGGAAAAGTAATCAGTAAACAAAGTTATGGAATGTAAGTGAATGCAGTTGAGATCTTTGAAAAAGAGAATGATTTAGGGATGTTCTAATCACTCTTGTTGTCTATTTTTTTTCTTTCGGTGTGGTTTTGTGCCAAGGAAAGTTTTTACTTGGATTGCGAGAGGGTTGGGTAAACCTGAGACGAGGAGGATGATTTTGAAGGATTCTCAAAGGTAGGAACACTGAGATGTCATGTTTATTCAAGAAACAAAATGGGGTGTGGTTAATCATAGAAATTTTGATTCACTCAGCGTTTGTCCAGGTTCATTGGAGTCTTTAGTTGTTTGGTGCTTTGGATTGGGGTACAAAAGGATTTGTAGAATGGCTTTGTGGGTTAAAGCGATTATTTTTCATTATCAGTTGGAGTCAATGTCCTTGTGTTCTACATTGAAGGGGTTTGTTCTTTGAATCTTGGTTGATGGATTGGTGATTTCCTAGGAATGTGATGGAAGGGCTGAAGATTTTATTGGGTTTGGTTGGTTTGCTGGTTTCGTCGGCTCTTGCTGCCTCCTTTATGTTTGTTGAGGTGTTTTGGGAAGTATGAAGTTTCTATTTTCATTTGTCTTGTGCAGGTGTTTGTGGTGGCCTTAGGTCGTTGGGCAGTGGCAGTACGGTGTTTGGGGTGGTTTTGTTAGTGATTGGCTTTGGCCCTTGTGCCAAGTTATGATGCTGTTGATCCTTGTTTTTTGTTTTTCGTTTTCTCTCTTCTTATTATTGATGTTTCTAGGGTGTACCTCTTGTACCTTCAATTTGACAACAATAATATTCTTTCTTTTTGCCAATCAAAGAACAAAAAGACAAATGTGGAATTTAATGTAAACTGCAATGGTGCAAAATGTAACTTACCACATAAAAAATTAAGATATTGTAGTAACAATTACTATATGTCAATATACATATTAGAATAATAGATAAGAATCAAACGATATATATTTGGCTACAAATTAGTCACTAAAACCAAACCTACATCTAACAACATTGGTTACCATAAAAAACAAGACATGGAAACAAATATATAAAACTATTTCAAAACTAAGAACCACTAATGCATAACACTGAAAGTCATCTCCTACCATATAACATCTTAGAAGATTCTATTCTAATGTATTTTCTATTGGCTAAAAATTCAACAACTTCCCATTGCATATTGTAAATAGCATTGTGAAATTTGAAAATAATGTTATTGGTTATCTCAAAGAACCCCAAGTCAATTTTTTCTTTACTTTTTTCTTTTCTTTTCTTTTCTTTTCTTTTTTTTTCCCTTTCATTTTCTTCCGTACATTATTCAGTTATGCTACATTTGATTATGCATTAATTGACAATTACCATGATGATAAACCAATGTGTCATTGTATACTTGTTTAATGCATCAACTTTCTTTTAACTTTGGTATCTAACTATTAATTTTCACGAAACCCCAGGAATAGTAATATAAAGAAGCTATATATATCACACCACTAGCAACTACTTCAAGCTCTGGCATTGTTACTGAATAGATCACATACAATAAGGGCAATCTGACATCAATTAAATGTAGGATTGTTTGAATTTTCCTTTTATTCCTCCACACATGATCACATAGGTTTTCTGGGCTGTAGAGGGCAGGTGATTTGTGTTTGTTCCTCAGGTTTGTGCAGGTGCACATGGTTCCATATTTGACGCCCACTTGCTTCTGGGGACATAACCAATGTGTTCATTGTCAAAACTTTGAGACTCATCTCAAAACTTATAGTTATATAATCAAAAAAAAAAGAGACAAAAATGGAACCCTACAAAATTGTACTCCCTCTCCATATTTGATAAATGACCGGCAATCTTAGATCGTACTTGACTCCAACCATTTTTGTTTAAATTATCATATTGAATGTGTTGTGTTGTATTGTATTGACCATTCTATTGTTCCTTATCTCTAACCCTCTATATCTTCCCTCTCAATATATTTAACATTCATATGTCCATCTATGAAAATAATAAGTACTTACACTCTGTTTGGATCGTAGGGTGAGAAAATAAAGAAATGATTGATCTCTCATCTAGGTGAGAAAATAAAAAACTGATTGTATTTTCTCACTATCATATTCGGACGAGTAAGAACGCAAAAGTATGTGATATAAAGAGACGGGCAAAATTTTATTTTTCTTTCTTTGTATTTGAGAGGTTGTTTGCAATGATCTAAATAAATATACTTTTTGATTTTTTTACGAAATCATGTCAAAAAAAAAAGAAAAAAAGTATGTGATTTAAAAAGATAAAAATAAAATAAAAAATAAAAATTGTGCTAATATAGGGAATGCCAAACAACCCCTAAATAGGCAGTCTCGGTGTTATGAAATATACGCGATTAATTAATCAGTTTGTTTCTCACCAAATCTCAACAGCTCTTGGTAATAAAAAAAATGAAACCTTTTGATAAAAAATTGAAACCAATAAAATAAAAAGGTTCTCTCTTTCTGTCTTTCATATCATTCATCCCCAAATCAGTCAGTACGGTGCAGAAGCAGTGGCAAATGAGATGTATATATATACATGTAAATGATAAAAGATGGTACTTGACTTAGATTTCATACCATATCTTGCCCACAACTGAGGCTCAATCCCATTGCATTCACGGATCAATATTGGCAATTTGGGGTTCAAAGTCTTCAGATCCTTGTAATTCTTCTCCACAAATGATCTGGGACCAAAAAAAAAAAAAAAAAAGACAAATCTGAGTAGGGTCAAGAAGAACAAGAGTCGAGAATTCGATCGAGAGAGAGAGAGAGAAAGAGAGAGAGAGAGACCTGGCTGATGAACTGGCAGATGAAGATTGGCAGAAGAGTATGCGAAGCTCCTTGAGGTTCTTTGATAGATTGCCCCTCCACGCCATTGTTGGTTGTCTCTCTTGCTCTCTCTACTATTAATTTCACCAAACAAACACAGCCTAACGCTTTGCCGAAACAATCTGTGAATTGTTGTGCCTTTTATTGCCCCCTTTTTCTCCGTAATGAATGAACGAAGGAAAATGCCACTAATCTTAAATAAAGTCTTATATCCATATTAAAAGTTTAGTAAAACGTTTAATAATTTATTTAATCTTAAATAAAGTCTTACATTCACATTAAATGTTTAGTAAAACGTTTAATAACTTGTTTAAAATTCCTAGTATAATTCATTAATGAAACCCCGGTGGATTTCCATTGCTTATTTAAGAGCATGGACTCCACATCATGGAACAAATGTTTGATTTTAATTTTTTAAAAATTGAATTTTTTATTTTTTTAATAAATATTTTTAAAATTTTAAGTAATTTTTTATTTTTTTAAATTTATTTTACTTAAATGTATTTAAATAGTAAAATATTTGTAAAAAAATATTTTAAAAAATTAATAAATATACAAAATTTTCTAAAGATTTTTTTATAAATATTATACTTTTTGAATGTATTTATGTTAGGTGTATCTAAAAATTAAAAAAATTATTTAAAATATTAAAAAAAATTCAGTGAAAATATAAAAAAAATACAAAAAATAAAAAATTTCAATTTTTTGAAAAGTAAATCCTGAAAAACCAAATCAAACAAGTAGATTTATACCTAAAAAATATTTAGTACGTCCAATTTTTTAATATTCTCTATTAAATTATTTAGAATTATAATTTACTCTCAATATATCTTTTTTTTTTCCACAAATTACCCTTCAAGATAAAATTATAATTTGTGGCACACCCAAATAACAAACAAATCAAAACCCCAAATTACGACACTTTGAAAAATCTTTTCAAAAATCCTTACCTGTTCTTTAAAATTTTGAAACTCCTTAACCTTAAATTCAGTTCTTCCATAAATCCTAAAACCCTCACAGACTTAAAAGTGTCATATTTAACATGCTTTGGATGTAAAGATACCTTACCCAGTAGTCCACAAGCATTCTTGTACTGGCATCCTTGATGATGCTTTAAGATTTGCTAGAACCCTAGCTCCATTTCCTTTTGGGCGAAGTCTAATCATTGAGAAACCAAATGACATTTTTCCAATAATGTTTCTAGCTGATGCATCATCTAATGGACAATAGTTCGATCATTCAAGTTCATAACCATCCTCATGATATTTTTTGTTATTATTTTCATCTATTATTTGATTTTGTTCAACTTTTTTTCTATTTACAAATAACAACACAATAAGAAACAATGATGCTGATGATAATAGTGAGTTTTGATGGAATGGATTGGAATTTTGGAGTGAGAGAGAAGATGAAGATAAAAGAATTGAAACTTCAAAAAGAAGATGAAGAGACTTGAATATGAATAATACATATAAGTGATTAGGGTATACCATGACAAAAAAAAAATAATATTTCATTTTAGAGTTTAATGTATATTGTCCTTATTAGTAAATTTACATTAGGATATAATATGAAATAAAATTTTAAAATTTTAATTAAGTGTACTGAGTTATTTTTTTGGTACAAATAAAATCACCCAGACGAACCAATTTTATTCAATTTTGGGTAAATTTTGAGCCAGTCCTACCTATAGGCCATGTTTGTTATCCCCCATCAGTGGTGGGATTGGACTGATAGTGAGGTTGGAACTTTGAAAGCATATTTATTATCCCACATCAATGGTGAGATTATTTATTCAGCCAGATTAGTAATCCCATTGCACAGCAGGATTATCAAAGCTGGTGAGAGTATAGGATTAGAAAAATAGTAAGGGGATTGGAAAAATAAGTGTATTCTTTTTTCTTTTTTTTAACCCAAGTGCAGCCTGTTATTTGTAAAAAAAAAAATTATATTTGCTTTAGAATTTTTTTTTCATATAGAAATATATATATTTTTATTTTATATAACAATAATTTAACAATCCCATCACTAACCATCTCACCCACTATCATCAAAACAAATGCACTTTTACTTAATCCCCTCACTAACAATCCTCACATTAATAATCTCTTCACTAACTATCCCCTCACTAACAATCCTATCCAACCTAATCCGCCAAACAAACGTGGCCATAGGGTCTTGTTTTATTTTTTTTAGGTCTCGTTTGCGAATAGATTATTTTAATAATTTTTTACTTAAAATATGAGATAAAAAAAATTAAAATATGTTTTGGAATGACTTTTTTACAGTGTTTATTTTTTTGGATAATTTTTTGTTTTTTGTTTTTTGCTTTTATAGTGACTTTTTTACTTTTAGGCTCAGCACTTCCCAAACGAGGCCTTTATGTCCAATAAGTTCTAAAAACAACAATGATTCATCCCACTAAAAACATCACCACTAATAGCACTAATGCATTAAAAAAGTTATAAAAAAAAAAATACAACTCCAAGACCAAAACATCACATCATTAATGGCGGGACCCACTGCCACCTAATTAGTGGGAGCACTAAGCATTTTTCTTCTAAAAATATTTATTTTATGAGTAGTGCTATGTACCTCTATCTTTTTTCTAGGATCCCCACATCTTTTATTTTTTAATTCCAATTTTATCTAAACATAAAATTCCATTTTTAACCCTATTCCTAACTTTCTAACCTTAATTTTCCAAACCCTAACCCTAATCCCACCAACCATTCCCATCTCCCCAACACCAACCACCATCTCACATTCCGACCAACAACCTCCACTACCATCACCACACCTCCACCCTTACTCACCAACCACTAGTAACGCCACCACTCACACCACTCTTAGACTTTCTTTGTTTTTTCTCTATCTCTATCTATTTATCTATCTCTCACCAGATCGCAACTATGATCACAGAAGATTAGTGATGGTGGCAATCTACCCTCCTCGCATGATTGTCACGATTGTAGTGTTGCTTGCCATATCCCCGGATTTTGTTTGGTAGTTTAGGACCGAACCACCACCATTTGTTTTGTGGTCTATAACCGAGCAACCACCATTTGTTCAATACTGGTTTTCCGAACTAAGTGAGACGATTTCAAATGAAGAAAAATCAAACACAAACATGTGGAAGAGGGCTCCAGGGTAGTTATATGGGTGGCAGCGATGGCAAATGACTGAGATTAGTGAAATGAGATATCTGGGTGAAAGAAATGAGATAGAGAATCACTGGTGGAAGAAAAGAAATGAAGATGGAGCTATGGAGGTGTCATCGAAGAAGAAAAATTGCTAGTGATAGAGGGGGGCTGAAGAAGGGTCTCTAATGGAGGAGAATGGCTATGAAAGAGTTACTAGTAGAGGAAAGGGGTTGTTAGAGATAGGGGAGATTGACAGTTGAAAAGTGTTGGGATGAGAGTTTAAAGGTATATTTAGGATTATGAAAGGGGTCCAAAGAAAAATAAATTGGGTAGCAATTTTGGTAATGGGACATTTAGCAATTTCCTTATTTTATTCCAGTACTTTTTGGGAATATTGATAGGTGAAAAAAAAAATAAGAGTAAGATTTATAGGTAAATAAGTTTGGTCAATAAGACAGACCTTTAATTTTGAGATTAATCAAGAATTGAATTGATTATATACATTGTTTAGTTCTGAGCTTTTAAAAATATTTTTGAATTTTTAATTCTTACGTTTTTATTCTTAGTGATTTTTTTTTGAATTTCTTAGTCAATTGTTTTTTAGATGCACCTAGATGTACTTAAAAAATAAAATATTTGTGAATAAAACTTGAAAAATGAATAAAAAAAATTAAAAAAAATGAAAATATACTAAAATTTTGTACTATTTCTTTAATATATTTTTTAGTATTTAATGAATTTTAAAAAAAAAATTCCACAAACTTCGTATGTATATCTAGATTAAGTAAATCTAAAAAGAAAAATTTAGCCAAAACCTCATAGGCCCAACATGTTAGTGTGTAAAGAACAGTTCAAAATATTTTACTTCTTAAACCACTTGAGTGGGAAGCATATTCTTCATGAAGGACACAAAAACAGAGCATTTTGGCCTCTTTTCTCTGTCCTCCGTCCTCCCCCTTTCAAAACAACGGTCTTCTTCTCTCTTGAATAACTAGGCCTAACCCAATCCAAGTTCAAATCCAAGAGGTTTCCCTAGCTTAGCAGGAAATCAGATGTCATCAAGAGTTCAAATTCAATTTACAGTCCAATTCCATTAAAACTTAGTAGTTCATTGAGTTCAATGTTTGATTACAACACCCAAAATGGGGAAAAAAAAATCCATATCAAAACCAGACTTCTAGGATTTGCAACTCCATCTCCAAGAGCTCTCTCTCTCTCTCTCTTTCCCATCAAGACTTCTTCTATGGATACATAGCTTCTAAAAAGATTGAGAGATTAGAGAGATCTGCTGAAGATGGTGGGTCATCGTTCTTCGTTTTTCATTTGTTAGTTTCGGTTTGGTCTCTTCTTCCTTGTTATGGTTGCTCATCATAAGATGTACTCTATTTTTTTTATGCCCTATTCATAGACTAATAAGGCTGCAAACGAACCAAGTTGTTCACAAGCTAGCTCGGCTCGGCTCGGTTCAACTCGTTTAGTAATTGAGCCGAGCTCAAGCTCGAATAAGCTTGGATCGTTTTTCTTTATTAAATTATATATTAAATAATATATAAATATACATAAATAATAGCATAAATACATTATCTATATATTAAATAATATAAATAATAATAATAAATCTTATCGAGCCAAGTTGAGTCGAGCTTGAGCCCAGTTAGTTATTGAGCCAAGCTCGAGCTCAATAAACAAGCTCGATAACAAACGAGCTGAGCTCGAGCTCAACAAAGCTTGATTCGGCTCATTTGCAACCCCATAGATTGACAGTAAAATTTTACTCTTGCAGTGTGTCATCGTGTGATTTGTTTTGTGAACTCATAGTGAAGGTATGTTTTTCAATTGATTGACAGTAAAATTTTATTGCAAATCAAAGTAAAATTTTACTGTGAATCAGAGTAAAATGGTACTGTGAAATAGAGTAAAATGTTATTATTTGCGTCAATTTTAACGATAATTTTTATTTTTTATTTTTTTTAAAGAATTTCATAATCAACTGGATCTTGTTTGATAGATCTTGATGAAATGATT